GGAACAGGAGCGTCGCTCTCTACCTGCTGGGAAAGGGGGAACAGGAGGGTCACTATTTAGCATGGAGTGGAAACACTAGCATTTCCAGGACCCTCCCTATGGCTTGTTTCCCATTGATGTCTCCTGATTTAAATGTGACGATGGGTAACTCTTGCCCGTTTCCTCACCTGCTCGGACACTCCAAGCTGTGTGCCGGGTGAGCTCTGCTGTGAATTCTCCATTCCATCACTGTCATTCATCTCCAGTTTCACTGTGAGCAGGTGAATGGACGGCGACATCCTCTCTGTGAATGCACCCAGTGGAGAAAGGTCAGGACAGACAGCAAGATACTGCTTTCCCCGTAACCTCTCCCATTGGCGAGGAAAACCACCTTGATGGTGAACCCCATCCTTGGTGATTCACACCCCTCTACCTGGCTGAGAAATCAACTCCTCGCTTGCTCTCCTACATTCTCTTTCTTGTTGGTGATTCCACTCTCACTGACTCGTTCATAATCATATTCCTCCGTCTCTCACTGATAAGTGTTCCCTCCTACTCAAAAGACCTCACTACTTCACCAACTCCCTCTCTTGCTGACTCCCTCACCAATTCCCTTCTCTCCCACTTCCTCACTGACTTCCACCCCACCCCGCCAAGACAGAGTGACGGACGGACGGACACACACACTCTCTCTCATACACACACACAGACACAGACACACACACAGACAGACAGCTGGCCCTCCTGCAGCAGTAGCTAAGCACAGACCCTGACTGAAACTGCTATCGACGATCTTGTAGACTTTGTACGGCTGGTAGTTGTTGAGCTGGGAGCGCTCTGGGACCTCCACAAAATCACTGCTCTTGTGGAGTGCACATCGCAGCCTCGATTTCCAGGTGCGTGGGTTCAGGTTACGCCAATCCCGGCACGGCCCCTTGAACCTGGCCCAGGCCTAGACAGATAGAGGCCAGGCTGTTAACGCAGAGACTGAGACAAACAAAGGCCCAATATGTACACTCTCCCTCCCACCGCATCAAACACTCCTTGGCAGGGACGGCTCGGGGTTAGATACAGAGTAAAGTTCCCTCTACAGTGTCCCCCCCATCAAACACTCCCAGGGACAGGGACAGGGACAGCACGGGGTTAGATACAGAGTAAAGCTCCCTCTCCAGTGTCACCCCCCCCATCAAACACTCCCAGGACAGGTACAGCACAGTACTGCCTAGGTTGACGTCCCTCCCTGAACCTTCCCCCTTTAAAATCTAGCAGATGGGACAAACTTTTGGTCATGGCCCCAGGAGCCCAGTGCGTTATCTGACTTAGGATCATGTGTCATCTCACCTAGGCTCCCAGGAACTACCAAGGGCTCTGAAAGAAGCAATATGGGTTGTTGCTGTCCACTGCAATCTAACTGCAGGACGAATTCCTCTCGTTGGGAATGACAACCCTGTTTTATCCTGTCGTGACCCCTGACCGCTGACCCCCGACACCCAGCCTCTGACCGCCGTGGTGTTGGAGAAGGTGATGCAGCGGGTCTCACCTCAAAAATAGCGGCGTCCTTGTCGTGCCTGTAGTCCTGATGGTTGGCGTGCTTCCAGGGGATCCGGAACATTCCAAGCTTGCGGTCCTCCCAGACCAGGCCTGGGTACTTCTCACTATCCACTTGTTCGATCATCCACTGCTTCAGCTTGGGAGTGCTGCTTGGTACAACTGACATCCTGAGAGGCACAGAGAGAAAGGGGGAGTGTGGGAGAGGCAGAGGGAGGGGGGGGGGGGGGGGGGCAAGAGAGAGGGAGGGTGAGAATGAGAGTGAGAGCAAGAGCGTGTGAGAGAGCGAGAGAGAAAAAACAGGGAGATGGAGACAGTCCTTGAATCTCAGTGTCAACAGCCCAACTCTCTCACTCATCTCAGTGTGACCTCCTGACCCACCCTCACCACAACCCACCCAACCGTGTCCCCCTCTCCAACACTGTCACCGCGCTCAGAGTGAACCCACTCTCATCCTGACCTCCTGAGCCCTCTCTGGGTCACATTCTGAGGGAGAGAGAGTGTGGGGCTGAAGGATGCAGGGACGCAATGGAAGGTCTATAAGAACAGTGAGTGGATAGAGGAAAGAAGGAAATAGACGGGGCAAAGGTGGATGAGTGACATTGAGGGATGGAGGGGGTGATGTGATTTTGGGAAAGAAATAGAGGGGAGGAAGGGTAGGGACTCACTGTTATTAGCAGGCAGGGTTACGCAGATTCGGATAACCGATGAAAGGGTTAAAATTGAATCAGAGATAGTAGGAAATGCAGATGCTGGAGAATCCGAGACAACAAGGTGCAG